ATGGAGGGGATGATTTGAAAACCAACAGATCTACATCGAGAATAACTGATGTTACGAAGAAAATTTTTGAAGGAAAAGTTCTCTTGTCAATGATTGATATAGAGAAGAAAATAAAAAAAATGAAAGAAGATTCTCAACAATTTTGGTGATACTTTTGTGTTGTATATTATTGGAGTTTTCCTGTGCCCATCAATGAAAATTAAAATTAGTAAGCACTTTCTTCCCATTGTTGAAGACTTGGCATCTTTGAAGTGTAAGAACTAGGCAAAATTTGTATTTGACTACATGATTCAGGTGGTATGGGACTACAAGATGGCTCCCCGCAATAGTATCAGGGGTTGCATTATTCTCCTCATGGTGACGTATTATACTCATTGATTATTTCCTTCTAATTTTGGTTTTACTTACCCATAATTAGTTATTTGTTGTCTTCTAAGTAGATTTTCTTCTTTGAAACGCATCACACCTATGGGGGAGAATCTGGTTGATTTGGCATCACGACCTTGCCCCCGCATTGGAGAATGGGATGACACAAAAATAGGTGTGCTCCTTGTGCAGCTAACAGAGTTAGGTGGATATAAAAATGACAAGGTAAGTCATTTGTATCATATAATTACAACACACATCATGGTTTATTTAGTATATTAATGAGATCTAACATTATTTTCAAATGTATATTGCCTGGTTGATGTAGATTAAGGTGACGATTATTGATTTGTGTCAGCATCGGCTATCAACTGATGCACGCGTCAACGTAGAAGCAGATGTATGTTTATTACTCAACACCCTATCATTGCTACCATATGTTTTATGCAACACCCAATGTAGATTGTTCATTTGTTCACAAATTGTTCCTTTGTTCACATATTGTTCATTTGTTTTATTCAGCATTTTGATTCAAGATTGTGCAGATTAGAGGTGACACAGACTACAATGAAATTAGATTTTCGGGATTTATCTCTCAGGGTTGATGTCGAGCTTTCAACTATAAAGGACTTATTAAGGAATTTATCCAACCAAGTCAACGCCATTGATAACAAATCAGAAGGTGTTGAGGAATTGAATAAGAATGAAAGAGGTGATGAGGAATTGGATATAAAAAATGTTGATGATGATGACGGTGATGGCGACGGCAACGTAAGTGAATCATGATATATTTTTTTAATTGTTTGGATATTAGAATACTGAATGCCTTAACTGGTAATATTAGATAATTGTGTTCATAACATTACAGGATGAAAATGATACTAACATGCCAGAGGGGGGTACCCTCACATAACAAGAGTCCTCCAAAGCCACGAGGAGTCAATATGGGAGTACATACTTGACAATTCCTTAGAAAAATCGTAAGTGAATCCATGATTTATCAAACATTATTCTTTCAACATAATTGGTACACTGCATTGACAAATTTGTACCATTTCAATACATGCAGAGAGGTTCTTGTAGATTTTAAAGATACCATATTTCCAGCGACTTGAAAGTCAATGCAGTCCTTATGTGGAACGGAGTGGATAGTTGATGATGTAACTGGATTGCTTTTGAATGCATTATTACCATTAATTATTCTGCCAAAGTAGTATACAATACCCAATATTTTATTTTTGTCCTGATTAACAAGTGATAAATATGGTTCACTGTGTTATGTCACCCGAAACCAAGATCAACTGCACCAACCAAAATACCAGATGGTACTTCCCAACTATGTTTTCAGTAAAGTATCCATACTCCTCATTGTTGGATTGTGTGATACTTATGATATATGTTTGTTAATCGTATATACTGAATGAATGGTTTTGGCAGCAAAAAGCAATTGCGAGGAAGAATAAAGGAAAAAATGTCTTAAATTCTGTTATTAGACAAAATTTTTCTCGTTGGTGACATTAAAAACTGCGATAAGGTTTGATATTCTCATTTTAGTTTATATAGGTCTTTCTCATTAATTATGGTGTACATATATGTATGTGCTCACTTATCATTGTATTATATTCGTGTTGTTGTAGATATATTTACCCATAAATTATGCAAATTCCCATTGGTACCTCACCATAGTAGATGTCCCAAAAAAGAAAACTATGTTTCTCGATACTTTGCCTACTGCTCAAAGGAATTTGAGACGGGTTCAGCAGGCAACGAAAACAGTAACGTTTGTACAACCTAAATTATTTAGGGCTTGTGTAATGAAGTACCTATCATCTCACGCATTAAAATAATATATTTGTTTCCTTAAATAGGTGATGATGTTATGTCATCTAATACGTGAGGTGACCACCGATGTGGAAGAAATGCATGAATGGCCGATTATTTGGCCAAACTGGGTGCCCGTACAGAAGAATGGCTATGATTGCGGTATGTATGTTATATTGATGATCCAAGAGCCGGAGTTGGGTCCAGATTTCCCTATCAAGGTGTTAATTTATTGCATACATGATATTACAATGTTACTGTTAACTTCAAGATAGTATTTTATTTTGCGTGGTTGAGTGAAGTTAATGTTGTTTTACAAATACTCTTGTAGGAACCTATGACAAAAATGCGAAGGGAATTCAACCTGAAATTGGTCACACACGACAATAACATTAAGAGATATGCGACAATATATAAGGCAGTAATTCGTTCATATATGAAGAACTAATTAATTCAGTCATTGTGGTAAGCTATACTAATTTGTGGAAGTTGGAGGTTTTTTCATACTTTTTCATTATATATATATATATATATATATATATTGAAAAATGACTGAATGAGTGGGTTATACCCTTTGTTGGTGGAGTTTTTACGTTGTTTGGGTAGGGATATTACTTTTTTTGTATTTGGTTCCTACTTTTTGGGTTGTTATTCCAACTTTTATGGATTATGTTCCAACTATTTTGGATTGGTGTTACAACTAGAGTGGATTACAATTTGTTGGGGTGGGTTCCAACTCATTTTCTTGCATGAGTTGTATATTTGTGTTTGCTTTGGCAGTGAAACCATCATTTGGAAATCATTTAGTCCAACAACAATCAACAGCGGGCATTGTGCTGAGTTTGAAGGTGATGGACTACTAGTTATAACAGGCCTACATGAGCAGCTTGACAATACGTGGTGTATCACTGCGTTTAAAAAGGTATGTCTAACATTGTGAAGTGTTAAATGGAGGAAATATGACACTCGTCATAACTATTGTTGAAGCTTGTTTGCACATTTGGAATTCCAAATTTTATGGATTATGTTCCAACAATTTGGGCGGGCATACAACTAGATTGGATTACAATTTGTTTTTGTGGGTTAAAACTTGTGTATTAATGTGTTATTATTTTTTTGTTAACCATTGCAACTTTTTTGGTAGGGGTTACAACTATTTTTAGGAGGATTCTGCAACAAATTTTTTTTTCTTGAAAGTAGGTTTGGTTTGAAACAAATAAAAGCTAAATCTGATTCTAGTAATCTAATTACTGATTTAGTGTTCAGGGCATAATCAAGCTTGGTTAGTTTCATGTGGGTTTTTTTTTTTTTAATTTGCAACCTCTTTTTCTTGTTGAATAGCCTTACGAGACCATCTCCAGTGAAAACCCACACCTTTACTCAAATATAAGTTAAAAAGAAAGGGTAAAAAGTTTGATTTGGTATAGACCTCTCCAATGAAGAAACTCAAATTAAAAGGAAGACAAAATCAAATTTATATAAAGACAAATCCAAACTTAAAGGAGGATAGAATATAACCATTAGATCTTTAAAGAAGAATAAAATCTAACCATTGGTGATTTGAGTAAAGGTTTGAAGATGCTTTTAGGGGCTAATTGTGCAATTACATGTGGCTCTCAATGGTTTACATGACACTTGAGGGTGAGGCTCTCCTTATGATTTGATTGGATTTATATGGCTTTCTCTCCTTGTGAGATGAAATATGAGTTTGCCCACTTGGTTTGAGCTACTTGCGATCTAGATTTGTGAGCACTCTGTGATGTCGGAGGTAAATATGTATTCCTTAGCTTACAAATGCTTGTAAACAAATAAATGTGTATTTATGTGAAAGTTCAGTTGTTAGTGAAATAAAGTGGTCTTGTCATCTTCAACATTTGAATGCTCAAGCTCTACTGCTTCAAGGGGGAACTGGGATTTTCTTTCCTTTTTTGGTTCTAATGCCAATTCCGCTCGAAAACATAATGTTGTTTTCTTATATTTTGAAGTAATTAAACACGTACATATTGTGTTCAATTGGTTCATAGACAACCTCTACCTTTACCTTTTTGGCAATTTGTTTTGATAGCATATGTTTTCTATCGTGTCTATGGAAATAATTTTGATGTGTCTTAGAGTCGTGTTTTTTGAGTAATTGGGATTTGGGAGATGTTAGAGATTCTTGCATTTTTTTTGAATAATACTTTTTGTAGTTACCTTTACTTTTTACTTTTTCTTTTGCTTTCTTTTTGGTGGGGGAGTCTCACTTTTTTGTGCATAGATTATCATGTTATGAGGTTTGGTGTTTCTGACAAAGTTCACATCTCAGAACAAGTTCAAGTACTAGTAGGAGCTTGAGCTTGAGCAACATTACCAATTTTATTGTTGGCCATTGCCAACTTTTAGTTTCGCAAAATTGTATGGCTAGGAATTAGAAGGAAATTGCATCTACCCTCATTTTCTATTGATTGACTATATTCCATTGAAATTTATAAATTTCAAATGAAGGGAGTTGTTGGGCATTCTCAACGATTGCTGCTGCGGAAGGAATAAATCAGATTGTAACAGGTGATTTAACAGTCCTGTTAGAGCAGGAGCTGGTGGAATGTGAAAATTCTTATAATCAAGGATGCAATGGTGGTCTTATGGATTATGCTTTTCAATTCATCATCAACAATGGTGGAATTGAATCTGAGGAAGATTACCCTTGGTCTCGATGGCGGATGTGATCAGAATCGAGTATGTGTCAATTAGAATCAAAAGCCAACAAAAAAGCAAAAAGGGGAAACATTAATTAGCTTTGAATGAGTTTCATTTTAACTGGTAGTCCATATAGCATGGATTGGATAATTATTCTCTTTGATATTTTTCAGAAAAATGCTCGGATTGTTTCCATTGATGGTTATGAGGATGTTCCACCTAATGATGAGAAGTCACTGCAAAAGGCCGTGGCAAATCAACCTGTTAGTGTGGCCATTGAAGCGGGGGGCAGGGCTTTTCAACTCTACCTATCAGTAATGATCTTATCTTTCATTGTCTTAGCACAGTAACTCTATAATTGGTTTTTCTTTCCTCTTGGCACAGTAGTATTTAGTTAATGGACATACAAGGTTCAAATTTTTAAGGTCGATAACTGTGTATGTGCACTGCAAATTTGGGAATTAACTTCTCATTGAGCTCGTGTCATAAATACTGTCCAAATTGCAGATTTCATTTCTTGGCCAATTTTTGGGCAATATGGTTATTAGTGCAGCCATTTTTGGGCAATATGGTTTTACATAATATATCAGTAAGGTATTCTTCATCAGTGTGGTCATTGATATGGTAGATTCGTGGTAACTTTTTGACAAGCTCGAGAAACAACTTTCCTATTTACCATTAAAATTTTTCTTTGAACTTCTCAGGGTGCTTTTACTGGATTATGTGGAACGGAGCTAGGCCATGGAGTTGGTGCTGTTGGATATGGTACAGAAAATGGGGTAGACTATTGGCTTGTGAGGAACTCGTGGGATCCGAACTGGGGAGAGAATGGGTACATCAGATTTGAGCTAAACGTGGCTAATACCACTACTGGGAAGTGTGGGATCGCAGTAGAGCCCTCATACCCCATCAAGGTTGGGCAGAATCTGCTACATGTTGTGATGATTACTCGACCTGCAGCCCACACGACCATCTTGTCTGTGACCTTGATCATAATGAATGCCTAATAGTAATTTAGTTATATATCATAATATCTTTGTTCTTGTTTGCCCATTTTTGGAGAAATCTGACATTATTACATGTCAATCCCAATATACTAGACTTCTCCCTTTGCTGATATATTGTCATACAACGTAACAGAGCAAGGGCAACCAAATGAGGGTAAAAGCACTGAAACGAGGTCCGGCTATACCAAACTGGGCTCGTCTGAATGCTGGCAGGAAGGTCAGCAATACTTGATGAGCATCGGTATTTATGGGGTCTTGAAGGACAAAGGGATGATGGCACCACCTAGATTGCAAGGAGGAAAATTTTAAGTGTTTGTTAAACTATCTGTTGATGCACAGCAAGACACCCTTTTTACCACGTTTCCTTTGTTTGTATAAACTTCATGTGGCATCACTGTATATGTAAATCTAGCTCTTTCGTATTTGCTGTATAACAATTTACCTGAATTCACAATAAAATTTATGGTCCAGCCTTGGAGCGCTTGGTTTCATAAACATCAAGCGGTATTATAAATAATCCCATTATTAGAAATAACTTTCTTTCCTTTTTTGTTATGCACTAATGTGAAAAGTAATATTTGGTGATTCAAAAGGATGACATTTAACTCCTAGATTCTTCATTCCCAAAAAAAATGGGATCATGTCAACTCTCAGGTTTTTGCATTGTCGTCGACGTGAGCCAATTAAATAAAAATATTTGTCCTTAGTGAGCCAATTAAATAATGTCTCCTGCAAGTCTTGTCCGCTAACCACAGTTGTCCTTAGTGATCCAATTAAATAAAAATATTTGGGTTGCCATATTCCATGAAAGCTATGATCATTATGTTAAGAGTAGGGCTTTGAAGAAAAAATATGTAGGGAAAAAAAGAGTATGGGTACTCTTACCAAAAAGTTCTATCAAATTTGGTCATTAAATTACTGTGAACTATTTTATTAGTAGGTCTTATAAAAATTTTTTCAAAAAATGTACTACTAATCCAATGGTCTACATAAATTTGACAAGCACATTTAGTAAAATTTATTGGTAAACACGTTCTTACCCGGAAAAATATACACACTTTTTTGTGGAATTTGAATCTCAACTTTTACATACAAAATGGCAAAGCGTCACCCAATTTTCATATTACTTGAGTGGTTCTTCTTTCAAGTCCTATTTCATCACTACAACTTTTAACCTTTCAAGTTTCTTCATTAGCTAAGAAATTTCTACAACAAAATTGAATTATAAAATATCTAAACCTTCTATTAGTTGTAACAATGAATAAATATTTTTTTTAGTCTTAAAAATACAACAATCAAGTTTGTTGTTTACGTACCAAGGTTGGATCAAGACCCCCATGGTGGTGGTGCTTTCAACTGAAAACAGGGTAGTGGCAGATTTACACCTGCGGGGGCGGGCCAACCTTATGGCTGATAAAACATGGGTTTTAGTTATATAGTTAAGGGCTATTTGATAACACCACTTAAGGATTAAAACTGAATACTTTAAGCACTTAGTAAATTAAGTGGGTTTGATAACCTAAAATTCATATAACTTAATAGACTAAACACTTCTTAAAAATAAACTAAAATTTTAAGTAGCAAACCAATTATTTATCATTTAATGCTGAAAATATTAGTCATTAAGGATTTATTAATTCTTCATAATGGACAAATATACCCCCAATACATTTTACACTCTTAACTTTTCAATACCCACCACTGTGTTGTCTTTGCCAATACCACCATTGGGTCATTGTCGCCACCACCAACACTACCACCACCATTGTGCCACTACCATCACTACTGCTGCCATCACCATTGTGTTGCCGCCACCACTATCATTATGTCACCACCATTACCATTGTGCCACTACCATCACCACAATCACCACCATCACCATCACCATCACCACTACCACTGCCACCACCATTGTGTCATCGCCATCAACACTCCCACAAGCCACTACTACCACCATTTTGCCACTGTTACTACCACCACCATTTTGGTACGGACTTTGGTACTTATTAAATCAACCTCCCTTGACTAAGGATAGTGGCAGACCCCCCAACCTTCATCCACATAGGCCAATATCTCATATCAATCCATCCTACCTTCTTTAAATTGGTTTAGACTAATATGCTTCTCACCCCTATTGTCAAAAAAGAAACACAATTTTACAGGAACCTTAAAACCAGGACTACAGTGTCTTATGCTGAACTTCTTTCACCCACTCTCAATGAGCAGTTTGATCTTTTGTATGTATGTGGTTGTAAGTGGAACTATGTAATCTTGTTGATAATGATCTCAAGGATTCATCTTTAAAGGATTGGGTTTGAGAGGCTATCTCAATTTTACGAAATTAACCAGATTTTTTTTTTGACTATGAACGCTTTCTTGTAGTCCAGTGGTATCATTTGTCACTTTTTGTTTTTTGGCAACCTAGCATTTTCCCTGGGATATTCGAATCCTTGACTTAAGACTTGTTAAAACACTTAAAAAGTGGTTTGTACTACCACTAGACTAAACATTTGGGGTTGTAGTATCATCTGTCATCTAGAAGGGTAGTTGGAGGTAGGTTTGAGACTATTAGGATGCCCGATTAATTATTGGGTTGGGAAAAAAATACCAAAACAACAAATAGTGGAAAGGATAAACTCACTGGTGGTGAACTGGAGTCGACTGGACTAGGGAGAGAGAGAGAGAGAGAGAGGGAAACTCGCTGCCGGTGGACTGGACTGGATTCCTGGAAGCTGGACTCAGTTGGTGGTGGAGGCTGTAAATATTGCTGCTGCCTGGTCTGGAAATCGATTAAGGCACCACCAAAAAAGTGAACCCCGCTGCTGATCGCAGCTGCCTGTTGATCGCCTACCACCTGCTGCTCGTTGGTGGATGCTGGACTAGAGTGACAGAGTCAATCGTCGGTGGTGGAGGCTGAGCTCAGACGTTGGTGGTGGAGGTGGAGGTGGAGGCTGTGCTCAGTGCTTCAAGTCGCTGGAGTTTGGTTTGGTTTGGTTTGGTGGATCGATTTAGGGCAAAGCCGCAAAACAAAAGGGGTAAATAAAAATACACAAAATGGCAAAGGATGTAAAAAATCTCAGATTATTTACGTTAAAAAATTATTGGCGACGTATTCTTAAACACGTCGGGAAAATTTAATTAGATTATTATTTTTTAACTTTTTTATTTTCGAAAAAATTATTAAACGTCACAAAAAATTAATTCAATTATTATTTTGTAAATTTTTTGTTTACCTAAAAAATTATTGGCGATGCCTTTTTGAAAACGTTGCGAAAATATACCTAAATTATTGTTTTTTAAATTTTTTATTTACGTAAAAGTTTATTTGTGCAAAAATAAGTAAATTGTTATAGTGAAATTATCCTAATTTTTTGCAAAAGTGTCATTATCCTAATATTTTTATTTTTTGGAAATATAATTCTTCTGTTATAAAAAAAAATGGAAACGTAATTCTTCAAAAAAAAAGAAAATGAGTGAGATTGAGTCAGATCAGTTAAAACTCAGAGGTTAAACTCGGCCCCATAGCAAGAACCCAACCTTATCCGCGTTCGTTTCTCTCTTTCAATCCTTTATTCTTCTTCTTCTCAGATATCCCTCTCTAAGGAACCCACCAGAAATGATTTCAGTACAATACTTTGATTAAAAATGTCAGCTTCTTCTCTCTCAAATTGTTAATTAAATTGTTATTTTTTAAATAAAAACATTATTGGTGACGTTTTTCAAAAAACGTTGCGAAAAATTAATTAAAATATTTTTTTTAAATCTTTTATTTACGTAAAAAGTTTGAGAGCTACCGCTATAGATCAAGCTCGTAGACGTAATACTCTTTTTCTTCTTCTTGCTCATAGCTGTGGTAGCTCCACTCTTTGACACCCAGAGCTGCCTCCCTCGAGACCTCTATTCGAATTATCTCGTCAACCTCAATGTCTGGTACACCCCGTGAGAATAACGATTACTTGATCTCTGGAAAGCCCAACTTCTTCGTCGGCCTTGTCTGTCTCAAGCTTCTCTTCTTGTGGCCTCTTTCCATCGTCAATCTCTACTGCATTGTCGTCGAAAAGTCTTGGCTTAGAACCACCAGCTTGATCTATGGTGTTTCCATTTCCACTTCCACGGTGATTTCTATATATCTCTTCCTTTAATTTCTTCTCTATATTAATTATTTCTTTTGAATCTTCTTTCTCCCTTTTCTTACCACAATGGTCAGTATGATTATAAGCTGAAAATTGGTGTTAATTTGAATCTGGGTTTGCGTGAGTTTATTGAGATCCGTGAATTAGGACATTCAATTGTCCAAATATATGTAGCAATTCCTTTCTAAAACCGTCACAAAAAATTAATTAAATTGTTATATATTAAATTTTTTATTTAAGTAAAAAGTTTATTGAGAAACGTAGCAAAAAATTAGTTAAATTGTTATTTTTTAAAGTTTTTAATTAAGTAAAAAAATTATTGGTGACATTTTTTCAAAACGTAGTGAAACATTAATTAAATTTTTACTTTAATTAATTTTTAAATTCCTGCCATTTCTCCCGTCAAAAAATAATTATGAGGGAATCGCTCTTTCACGACGTGTTAAAAACGTCGCCCAAAATGCCAAAATAGAAATTTTTTATTTACGTAAGAAGTTTATTGACGACGTTTTTTGAAAACATCGCAAAAATTTAATTAAATTGTTATATTTTAAAGTTTTTATTTAAGTAAAAAAATTATTGGCGACATTTTTTCAAAATGTCGTGAAACATTAATTATATTTTTATTTTTAATTAATTTGTGAATTTCTGCCATTTCTCCTGCCAAAAAATAATTAGGAGAGAATGGCTTTTTCGCGACATTTTATAAAAAACGTAGCCCAAAATGCCAAAATAGAAATCTTTTATTTACATAAGAAGTTTATTGGCGACGTCGCAAAAAATTAATTAAATTGTTATATTTTAAAATTTTTATTTAAGTAAAAAAATTATTTGCGACGTTTCTATAAAATTTGTCAAATTGTTATTTTTTAAATTTTTTATTTAAGTAAAAATTTTATTGTCGATGATTCTGAACAACGTCGCCAAAAATTAATTAAATTGTTATTTTTAAAATTTTTTATTTTCGAAAGTGCTTATTGGCGACAGTTTTTGAAAACGTCGCGAAAAAAGAAGCAAATTATTATTTCTTAAATTTTTTATTTACGAAGTTTTCTATTTGCGATGTTTTTTAAATACGTCAAGAAAAAAGAAGTAGATTGTTATTTTTAAATTTTTTTATTTACGAAGTTTACTATTAGCGACGTGTTTGACAAACGTCGCGAAAATAATTAGATTTTTTATTTGCCAAAAAATTTATTTGCGACGTTTTTTCAAAATCATCGCTAAAAATAATAAAATTTGTCATTTCCCGTAATTACTCCCGCCAAAAGAATGAGGAGAGAGTCACCTTTTTGCGACGTTTGCAAAAAAACGTCGCAAAAAATGTCAAAAATTGAAAATTAGACTTTATTTTACTTTAAATTTTAGATTATTTATTTTTGTGACGATATAAAACTATTCGCGATGAAAAATATTTGTGGTAAAAAATTGTCAATTCTCCAAAAACATTACGTGGGAATGCCTTTTCGCGATGTTTTTCATAAAACGTCGTAAAAAGAATAGCCAAAATAGAAATTTGTGACAAAAATATAAAAGCGTCGCTAATCCTAAACTTTTTGCGACAAATTTAAAATCGTCGCAAAAAAATGTCGCGAAAAATGCTTTTTGTTGTAGTGTGAGGGATATTAACCCAGACACACTATATAGAGAAAGTGTTAAAAAAATTCAATCACTCTGATTGTAAGACTAGTCAAACACCTTTAAATATTAATTGTAAACTCATACCTAATGAAAGGGTATCAATAAATCAAGAAGAGAATACTAAAATTATTGGAAGTTTGATGTGTGCTATGAATAATACAAGACCTGATATTGCTTGTACTATAGGAATATTGAGTAGATTTACTAGCAATCCTAGTTCTGAACATTAGAAAGAACTAAGTAGAGTTTTGAGATATTTGAAATATACTATGAATTATGGATTACATTATCATTGCACAAATTCTATTTTTGAATCTTATAGTGATGCTAATTGGGCATCCGATAGAACAAACTCCAAATCAACTAGTGGTTGGTTATTCACTTTAGGTGGTGCTATTGTTACATGGTCTTCTAAGAAACAATCATGCATTACATTATCATCCATGGAATCTGAATACATTGCTATGTTATTAGCTAGTAAAGAAATTATATGGATAAAAAAGTTTATGAAATGCATTCCTTTTATTGATATTACTAAAGGACATGTTACTTTATATTGTGATAATCAAGCTGCGATTTACAATACTAAGAATAAAAGAATATCAAATAATAGCAAGCATATTGCTATGAGATACAATCATATACGAAAAATTGTGAAAAAAGATAAGGTCACACTTGAGTACTTGCCTACTGATCAAATGAAAGTGGATCCATTAACAAAACCACTAAGTGGTGAGAAGATCAGTAAAACCATGAGAGGTATGAGACTATTAACGATTCAATAGAGATAGTCTTGACTGTAGCCCACTCGAACAAGTTGATGCCGACACGTTGGAAATCTCTTGATTAGAGTTCAAGGAAATTTAGTTAGGTATTATCAAATAAATGTTAAAGGAGGGTACATTTCCAGTGCATTATTTATTTTAGGAATAGTGGGGGTAGGTATATTCCAACTAAAGTCTCATATTTGGTTAATGCACTGTGTTTTCCACAACAAGAAGGTTAGACTTTATCCTTAACAGAACTCAGTTTATTTGGGGTGATAGAGTGGTTGTGGAACACCCTTGATGAGTCTGCCTTTGTGAGTATGGAGGTAAGGGCCGCATCATACGGGTTTTTCGATAAAATCGTAGTGTACTTGCTAAGTAGGTCAAAGTATGACCTAATAACGTGTTGCCTTAAAAGGATCATTAACTCTATGTATAGTGCGAATATGTTTCTTAGACTTTGAATGCTACAAGATCAAGACATAGTTCTCTTGTTCTTTTAAAGTTTATAGATCCATGTTCAACTTTATGTTCAAGAGATCGTCCACCTAAGGGCATGCATTATACTGTACCCAAAATTTTCTATTATTATTATCATATTTAGTAAATAAGTGGGGGATTGTTATATATATATATATATATATATATATATATATATATATATATATATATA